TCACATCCCCATCGACGATTTCCTTTGCTTTACCTCTTTGAAGTGCATTGTAGAGGTCTTTATGTGTAAATCCAACATTATGATAGCCCCCTGCCTGCTGCGTTAAATAGTTCATTACTTGTGACGTGCCAACACCGACCTCTTTCAATGTTGTTGCCTCATCGATATCAGCCTTACTTACAGCTCTATTAGAACGCATAAATGGTGTCATAGCAGATGTGCACAATGCATGATTATGTTTCTGATCAGACTTACTTATAACCCACTGATCGTTTGTATTTGTTGCTGTAACTACGACTCTAGCCTTACATCCTGTTCTTGTGACTGGCGTATGAGCACGTTGACGATCAACAGTATTGACTTTTGATACTCGAAACCCTTCTTTGGAACAACAAAATTCTTGTGTCTTCACATTCCCTTCCACGTCAAGCTGTGTTGTTCCCTTACGTGCACTAAACCCATGTTCCCGTGCGAATCCCTTATAAAAGTGCCAAGCTTGATCACGTGAACAGAAGAGCTGACCAACCAATCTGTCAGATTCATCAACATTATGTACTTCATGGCATTCCTCGGTTGGCTTAACATTGTCTACATCAGTATTATCCATGGCAAAAATTTTGTTGTGCAAGTTCAGTGCTCCAGGAGTTGATGGAGATGTAAGCAAAGGTTCATTTTGAACATGTTTTAGTCGTGCTGCTTTCAATAGGATGTGGCATTGGTAGTGGTAGTTAAAGGGTGGGTACAACATTAAATTCGCAGTACATATTTAGGTATGTACAATAACTACAAGTATATATTATCATTAATTTTAGGTATGTACAATAACTACATATTTAGGTATGTTTGTTAACTACATATTTAGGTATATACATCTTTTGAGTAAGTTTTAAGATATTAATTTAGTAATTATAGGCGTCTAATGATTTATTTTTTATGTTACGGTATATATTATTATTAAATTAAAAACAATAAACATATATATTACATATTTATTATTATCTTTGGTTAATGTTGTTAAATTTAAATTATAAATATTATTTTATAAAATATTAAAACAATCAAATAATTTTTTGTATAAATGAAATTATTAAATTAATATTGTAGGTGGAAAACATGAAACACTGTTAAAAAAATTGAAACATAAATTACATAACTTTAAAAAAGTATCGATCCTTTTTATAAAAAGTATGGACACTTTCAATAATAGGTAAACATATGATGTAATAGGTAGCGCTTATATAATGTAATAGGTATCGTTTATATAATGTAATAGGTAGTGGTTATATTGTAAAGTATCTATCCTTTTTATAAAAGTGTCCATACTTTTTTCACTGTGGAAAACATTAATTTAAGGTTATCTTTTGAGTGAGTTTTAAGATATTAATTTAGTAATTATAGGCGTCTAATGATTTATTTTTTACGTTATGATATATATTATTATTAAATTATAAATTCTAAATATTATTTTATAAAATATCAAAACAATCAAATAATTTTTTGTGCAAATAAAATTATTAAATCAAATTACTTTATTCCAACCATGTGACAAGTGTGACAACTCCATCAACTCACAACTTAGCTTTGAACTCAATCAATATTGTCTTTTAGCTTGATGGTTCATAAAGCATGTTACTTGAACAGTATGAATCAATTATGCAATTTTCATGTTCAATTTAACACTGCATTTCAAATTCATTTCATATGTAATTGGAGTTTGAATTTAAATTTCAATTTGAGTTTGAATTTCAATATATATTTCGGCTCCACTATAAATATTAGCCCAAGCCAATATGCATGTTATCATTGATTATTCCTAATTTTCATTGTTTTTTTTTCCAACGTTTAAACGCGAGGGAAATCCCGACCATTGTATTTTTTGGTCAACTTTAAAGCGTCAGAAACGTTTCGGGCGTATGATCTGGGTGGTAAACAAATAGCAACTAAAATCATAAGTCCGAAATGCTTCTGAGTACCACCCAAATCATAAGTCCGAAATACTTCCGATGCTCATCAAAATCCAAAGCTCATATGGTGCCAAGCAAAAGGAAATCAAAATTCAAATCTCATATGATGCCAAGCAAAAGGAAATCAAAATCTACAACTTGAGTTTGAACATTGATATGATATGTTCAGTTGTTATCATGTTGGGATTTTCTCGTTTTTGATTGCTTGGATAGTTGTTCTCTTGCTTCTTCAAGTGTCCTTAGCTTGTAATTTATAGCTTAGAATGTGTTTGATGTTGTATATATTATTATTAAATTAAAAACAATAAACATATATATTACATATTTATTATTATCTTTGGTTAATGTTGTTAAATTTAAATTATAAATATTATTTTATAAAATATCAAAACAATCAAATAAATTTTGTGTAAATGAAATTATTAAATTAATATTGTAGGTGGAAAACATGAAACACTGTTAAAAAAATTGAAACATAAATTACATAACTTTTAAAAAAAGTATCGATCCTTTTTATAAAAAGTATGGACACTTTCAATATAATAGGTAAACATATGATGTAATAGGTAGCGCTTATATAATGTAATAGGTATCGTTTATATAATGTAATAGGTAGTGGTTATATTGTAAAGTGTCTATCCTTTTTATAAAAGTGTCCATACTTTTTTCACTGTGGAAAACATTAATTTAAGGTTATCTTTTAAGTGAGTTTTAAGATATTAATTTAGTAATTATAGACGTCTAATGATTTATTTTTTACGTTACGATATATATTATTATTAAATTAAAAATTCTAAATAATATTTTATAAAATATCAAATAATCAAATAATTTTTTGTGTAAATGAAATTATTAAATTAATATTGTAGGTGGAAAACATGAAACACTATTAAAAAAAATTGAAACATAAATTACATAACTTTAAAAGAAGTATCGATCCTTTTTATAAAAAGTATGGACACTTTCAATATAATAGGTAAAAATATGATGTAATAGGTAGCGTTTATATAATGTAATAGGTATCGTTTATATAATGTAATAGGTAGTGGTTATATTGTAAAGTGTCTATCCTTTTATAAAAGTGTCCATACTTTTTCACTGTGGAAAACATTAATTTAAGGTTATCTTTTGAGTGAGTTTAAGATATTAATTTAGTAATTATAGGCGTCTAATGATTTATTTTTTATGTTACGATATATATTATTATTAAATTAAAAATTCTAAATAATATTTTATAAAATATCAATAATCAAATAATTTTTTGTGCAAATGAATTATTAAATTAATATTGTAGGTGGAAAACATGAAACACTATTAAAAAAATTGAAACATAAATTACATAACTTTAAAAGAAGTATCGATCCTTTTTATAAAAAGTATGGACACTTTCAATATAATAGGTAAAAATATGATGTAATAGGTAGCGCTTATGTAATGTAATAGGTATCGTTTATATAATGTAATAGGTAGTGGTTATATTGTAAAGTGTCTATCCTTTTTATAAAAGTGTCCATACTTTTTTCACTGTAGAAAACATTAATTTAAGGTTATCTTTTGAGTGAGTTTTAAGATATTAATTTAGTAATTATAGGCGTCTAATGATTTATTTTTTACGTTACGATATATATTATTATTAAATTAAAAATTCTAAATAATATTTTATAAAATATCAAATAATCAAATAATTTTTTGTGCAAATGAAATTATTAAATTAATATTATAGGTGAAAAACATGAAACACTATTAAAAAAAATTGAAACATAAATTACATAACTTTAAAAGAAGTATCGATCATTTTTATAAAAAGTATGGACACTTTCAATATAATATAATGTAATAGGTAAATTTGTAATACTATCGGTATAAATATACCGGTTTACTTATAAAATAGGTAAATATAAGCGCTACCTATTACATTATATAAGCACTACCTAGTATGTTATTGTACTTTATAATATTTCCAGTTAAATAATATAACATAACCGGTATAAATTTTAACCGATCAATTGTTTAACCGATCATACCGTATATTAGCCGTTTTTTAGGGGTACCCTTATTAAACTAAAGAAAGCAAATTGCAGATGCCCATACTCACCTTGAAAGATTGGAATCCCATGGTCACCTTTTGTTATTTCTTTTAAATTCTCCCCAACCGAAAGCTTTGTAGGAAGACAACGAAGCTTCATCGCCCATTACCCAAACACCGATGACCACCGTGCCGACCGTCATCGATGGTCGTCAACCAAAACCCAAGTTACACCGTTCGAAGTGCCTTGGTCTCCTTTCCATGAATCTGTCCTCTGTTCGTCGAGAAACTCCATAGATGATCGTGGATCTACCGAAAAATGTTTAGCTTTCTGGAAATAAAAGGCTTTCGCTCATCGTCGACAACCGTTCAATGAAGCCATATTTACAATATGTTGATCCTCGCTACAATACTACTCTTCCCACCGCACATATCTTCAACCAACATCGGAATCATCGGGAATCAAAAGACATACCCCATGAACTTTTGTATTTAATTTCTTGTTGATTCTTACTGTCTGGATGTTATTCTTTGGTCGTTTGGTTATAGGTTGAGCAAAAGATGAGTCTACTCACTGCCAAGAAAATGAAGGAAGCTGCAGAAAATGTGGCTTTTTGCAGAGACCAAAAACTCTTTTGTACGAGGAGAGTTCAACGACCTTCATGTGCAAAAAGGCTTCAAAGAGTAGAATTCTTGCTAGTCTCACAAAGATTCTCGTTTATGTAAATGAATTGAATCTGGTTTTGAAGCCAGTCTTATCCAAAAACTTAGCCTTAAGAATTGGAAAATTTTGAAGATAATTGATTGTGAATTGCAGGCCAAGCAACGGTGGAAATAAAATTCACAATGACAAATAATAATTGAATACAATAATAGAGTTCACATAAGACAAAAGATAGAGAATTCACGTGAATTCTATAATCCCATAGTCAACTAAAAAACTAACCCCACCAATTGGGGTGTGACACTTACATAAACCCCAATTGTTTTCTACCACAGTCGATTCCAATGGCTAGAGAAGCAAGGCTGGCAGCCATGCCAGGCTTTTTCAAGGTTCTGGTCGGCGACTTCTCTAAGCGACTGGTATATTGAATACTCCAAATATTCAACTGTATATATCTGCCAATTATGATTGCTCTTCTATATACAACCACATTGTTATGGAATCTGAAAAAAACTTTATTTTTTTGGTTTCTTTAGCCATAAGTTATCTGGAGTCAAGTTCGTACTGTCTGAAATCATATCATCATAATGATTAGTTGAAGTGAACTTGTTCGGGTTCGATTATCTATTGGGATTGATATTGAATGTTTTGTTGTAGAGAATTCCACCTGCATTTGCCAAGTTCTTTGATCGAACACCATTGCCTCATAAGATCAAGCTACAAGACTCCGAAGAAAATTGTTGGCAAGTTAATTTGGTGAGAATCAACAACAAACTGTTGTTCAAAAATGGCTGGGAAGCTTTTGTAAAAGACAATCTTTTAGAGGTTGGGGACTTTGTGTTCTTTAGTTATGTTCGGATATCATTGTTTACAATCACCGTCTTCCAGAACGATGGATGTGTAAAAGATGTCACCGGTAAAGGGAAGAAGAAACAAAGTGAAACAATGGCAAAAAATATACATGGAACCAATCAATCTGCAAGTTTGGAAAACAAGAAAAAGCCTGTGGTGATCAAGATTGAAGGTACTGATGATGGCATCTCAGTTGAAATTCTGGAAAATGTTACTAAAGTGGGAGAGAAGAGGAAAAGAACAGAATTCAAACAATCAGCTGCTTGCACTCAGCTCAAAGGTTCGAAATTTATTTTTCCTTTGGTTGTATACTTTGTATTATCACATGAAATATTTTTTCTGCAGAAGGTAATAAGAATGTCAAGAAACTGAAAGGCAAAGCAAAATCTTTAGTTCTTGAAAGAGCTAAAAGGGCATTCAAATCTAGCAACCCCTTCTTCATGGTTACAATTCAGCCATCCTACATTGGTGTTGGACACATCAAAGTGGTAAGCATCCTGTTCTTAGCCTAATTCGAATCCGATGTTGCTGAACACATTTACATCCCGGTCGTATTACGAACATTTGATTGTTTAATCTGTGCAGCATATACCTGTGGAATTTGTTCAAACATACTTAAACAAGAGGTGCAAGAATGTTATCCTTGAGATCCCACCAGGTGATAGAACATGGGAGGTCAAGTATTATGTCACGACACAAAGACATGCACAAGCAAAACTGAGTAATGGATGGGTAGATTTTGCAATTGAAAATCATTTGGCAGTGGGTGATGTTTGTGCCTTTGAACTGATTAACAGAGCTCAAAACATTCTAAGAGTCTATATATTTGGGCTTAATACATGAAGAATTCCCATCCTTGACGTGTCTAATCTGATTCAGATGAGTGTTGAATATTAGATATTCAGTATGTTATGACCGTATTTTCGTATCCACTATTCTGATATAAACTTGATACAGTCATCAAACTGATCAGGAATTGGGATATGAACAAGCAGCGTGGGTTTGTTTCTTTACTTTTATCTGTTTGTTTACCGAGAACGAGGCCCCCAGTTTTGGTAAGAAACAAGTGAAGTTGCCCGTTGTTTTTCCTATTTAGCAATTTAACATTTCTTGTCGTCTACTGCAACATCTTCAAATAATGGTTTTAGATTTTCTCATTTATGTTGTCCAAAGGTAATCCTCTCCAGGTGGCACCCAATCAGCTTTGCCCCGTCTTTCAGCAGCACGTACCGATAGTTTTGCTGATTCAGTTTTATTATTTTTAAATTTAATAAAGATTTATGTTGGGTTTGTTGGACTATACGAGATAAAACTCGTTCCTTTAATAAAAATTAAACTGAGTTTTTCTATTTATCTTCAAAACTAATTATTTATATTATAATTTGAGTTGTAAGTAAGATAATTTTTCTAATATTAACTAAGCATAAAAAAGAATAGGATCCCATGGCTCGTGCCGCATGGTTGCTTTGAGTCGGCTGATAAATTTACATCCTCTTTCGGTCAGTGTGCAGCTGCGACATTGGCTCTTAGCCTCTTCCGCTGCTGCTATTCATTACAAAAAACCACACTAATTTCTACGTGGTAAATTAAATTTTAGATAATGTATAACTTATATAATTTTTAATTATTATAGTCAATTTTAACTTTAACTCCAATTATACTATTGAATTATGGAATTTTATTTATTAAATAAATTATAAAAATTTAATGATTTAATTATATGAATCAATTTTTTGATTATTATGATGAAATGAATATAACGATGTCATTTTGGTTCAATTAGTAATATTTAAACTGACGTCACTTTTAGATAAAATATTATTTTTAGATAATTACCTTTAAAAGTGTATTATTTTTTAAAAAAAATTAAGCATTAACCTTTTTTTCAATGTTGTTGGCAATCAATATGATTCGAAGTGTTAATATTTTAATCTCTTTGATTACCGTCTGATAAGGTTAGTTTTGAAATATATTGTTTGTCTTATTGAAATAATACTTTTCAATGTTTAAAATTTCGAACAAACTCTTCAAATCTGGAAAAAAAATCCTCCAAAAACTTAAAGATGATATTATTATTTTTGTTTAATTTCATTAATTTTGAGTAAGTTTGATAAAAAAAAAGCAATCATGAAAAAAGAAAAAGAAGTGAATGACGATTGATGATGGGTAACAACTCACAGTTAAAGATATGACCGTAAAAGTATAATGTCTAGAAGTGAAACGTTTATAATGAGAAATTGATACACTCTTAAAGTTCAGTGTTCAAAATGACATTATTTTAAATATTAACAACTATATCAAAATATTATCATTTTATTTATAATATCATATCGTTTAGATTTTAATGATATAATTGTATAATTAAAATTAAAATTAAAATTAAAGTTAAATATCATAATTGAAATAATTAAAAATTTGATAGAATAAATAATGTATTATCTAAAATTTAATGGCATATGATGTAGTAGTTCATTTTTTTTATTTTCTTTTTATGTATATAAAGTTAGGCTGCTCGTTGCCCGTGGTTTGGACTGAATCAGTGGAACATTGAAACAATATCCATTGAACAAAACCGGAAAACGTCAAAACTTCCCACTGAATCTCAATTTAATTATGTCTATAAATGGCAGACATCTGTTTCCATGAACTCTCCTCCATATTTGATATCTCACTAAATCTCCATTCATCGTTACTTTGTTTCTCAGTTCTTCACCTTAAAAAAATGGATTCCTTGGTACCCAAAGCTCAGCCATATTTGGAGAAGATGAATAATAATCCAGAAGAAGCAGCAGCGAAGAAAATGAATAACAACACAGAAGAAGAACATGGTCAAACGAACAAAGTTGTCACAAGCCAACTTCAGATAAGATCCTCAGCTCGGTCGTCCCGTGCAGCACTTGAGAAAGAGGTTGTTATTCGGCGGATCCGCAATCACAAGTGCAAAAACAGGGTCAGGAGTGCTTTTCAGGCTTTGGTTGGCGGCGATGGCCAAGCTCAAGACAAGTGGATGGAACTGGGCGATGCTTTCACTTGCCCTTGAAGAAAAAGAAAAAAAAAGACCCAGAAATTCATGGGATTTGTAAATGGCTTCAATGATGATCGGTTAATGTATTTTGATGACGATGATGAAAGATTCTTAAGGTGATACTCTCTTGTGTTGTTGCGAATGTTTTAGACAAATATGATAAATGACAAAAATAATATGATAAAATCCAGCGTATGAAAAGCAAAGGCACTTTCAAAACTGGAGATTCCTTTTAAAAGCTAATTAACAAACAAACACAAGGGGTAGTAATTAAACATCATATCTCCCATTCTTGTCTGTCCCTTAATCATCACAACATCTTGAAAGATCTCAACTTTCTTTTCATCTTTCCTCGTTTTCTTTTTTGATGAATTCATCTGTCCCTTAATGTATTCTGGTCGCTTGTTCTTCACTTTGTCTAGCCGGCAGGCTGAAATATTACTGGCTCTGCAAGAACTTGAATAAGAACTTCTGCTGTTTCTAATATATTTTTATATGTAAGAACGAACCAAATCATACTCTCATAATATAGTTCATTGAATCGGATTAGATCATGACTATACTTAATCATCATGCTTGTAATTTAAGATACAGATGATGTCTCTAAAGCAGTAAATGTTCATAATGAACGACAATTTCAGTCGCCAGCAATGCATTTTTTGCTACTACGTGCCATCCTGGTTTGGATTATTGCATTAAACTAATCTGATGCTAATCAAAATATTCCTAATAGAAATTGATGTATAATCCAGAAAATATGGTGAGATTAATAAAGTTTTGTCATCTTTTGAATTATTTTCTCTGATCAAGAGCTTACATATTCACTAATAACAACAATTTTTACGTTTTCCATCGACTTTAAGCGACATTCGAGTTTAATACACTAATAAATAAGCTTGGCTTATAGCTAGCTAGTTATCTATGGCTATTTCTTTCTTTTCTCATCAATGGCAATCCTTGCAAGCTCTGTTTTTCATACTCGACTACGTCTTAGCTTCCTATATCAGAGCTCGGCCCTCATACGGAGATGGTGCCGACTTTTGGTGCTTGGAATCATCAGCCCCGTGCTCGACATATGCCGCTTATTTTGCTCAAGAACTGGACTTTCTGGACCTTCGAAACATTGCTAATCTGTTCAGAACCAGCCTGCAAGAGATTGCAAGAGCTAGCAACTTAGTTTCTGAAGATACTCGGTTGTTCCCAGGCCAACTCTTGCCGGTCCCTATAACCTGTGGTTGCACCATGAACCACTATTTTGCTAACATCACATATGATATCAAGCTCGGTGACACATATTACACAATTTCGACCACTGTTTTCGAGTCTCTCACCAATTTCACTGCAGTGGAGCAAATGAATCCTTTTCTGGAGCCGAAGAATTTGCACACCGGGGAAGAAGTCGTGTTTCCTTTGTTCTGCAAGTGCCCTTCGAAAGCTGAATCAGAGAACGGAACCGAGTATTTTATTAGCTATGTCTGGCAACCGAAAGACAGTATTTGGAGTGTAAGTGCCATGTTCAATGTATCAGCACCAGCTATCATTGATGAAAATAAGTTAAATGGCTACACGGATATTAGCTCGGCAGTGATTCCTCCGCTGATGATCCCCGTGTCTGACTGGTCGGTTCTTTCCCCGTGTCTGACTGGCTGGTTCTTTCGCAAACTTACCGAGGAAGCAAATCTAAACATCAGGGGATTCTCATAGTTGTTTTAAGCATAGTAGTCTGTTTGCTTATTTTAGCATGTGTGGTAATACATGAGAGAAATAAGATTTTTAAGAGCAACTGTTAGTCTCTGGAGACGGCCGGTTTGATTCCGATGAAGGATGTTACTAGAAGTGAGGGTTTCCGGCCAAAGATAATGCAAGATAAGCTGCTTCCAGGAGTTTCAGGTTACCTAGGGAAACCAATCATGTATGACGCTGATGTGATTATGAGGGCAACTATGAACCTTAATGAACATAGAAGAGTCGTAGGATCTGTGTATAGGGCCACCATTGATGGGAAACTGTTAGCCATAAAGAAAACAAAGGAGGATATTGCAAAGGAACTGAAGATTTCCGGTCGTAGCTCGTTAAGTGTCGCAGAAAATCCATAGCTTCGGTTTATATGGTAACCAATGTATAATCCTATTTTGTAATATAAAGTTTCAGCTCGGTTTTCAGTTTTGATGATGTATTGGACTATGTCTTGTTCATGTGAATATAGATCACCAAGACTTGACTATAAGCGTACTTGCTTGTGTTTATGTTATTTTTCGTGACATGTCGTGTTCATGTTATCCATGGTTCATATTATTATCCAATCAAATTGGATGGCAATGGAGCCATTGAAGATTTGAATTAACAACACATACTCTTTTATCTTACAGATAGAAAGAACGAGGAAGCAAGGGATCGGGGAAAGAAGCCTATGAAACAAGCAAACACTGAATAAATAAAAGTTAATCAATAGCTCACAGTATATGTTTGAGACCACGACATGTTGGATGACGAATCCCGTGCCGATGAAGTAGTCAGAATTCTCGATAATGACTGCACGATTTCATTCATAATCTAAACCCTGAAATCACCATAGAGAAGAACGTTACTGATTTTTAAGTCCTTGTGGACATGAGGAGGATTGGTGAAGCTATGGTGGTACTTAAGCCCCGTTGCTACATCTAATGCAATCTGAATTTGATGCTTTAAGCATATGAATTTCCCTCTATCATCTTGGTTGAAGATCCAGTCACTCAATGCACCATTGGCGGCATACTCGTAAACCAGATGCCAGTTCTCATTGTTGATACAAACTCCGAAAAGGCGAATAAGATTTGAATGGTTGACCTTGTTTAACAGTTGTATCTTCTTCGAGACATTTCCATCAACCTTCTTGATGGCTGCAAAATCACTGTCGTTGGTCACACCACGGTAAACCAATCCTTTAATATGATTGCTGGGGCTGAAGTTATCTGCTGCAATTCTCCAAAACTGTAAATTTTGAGATTGATCTATGAAGCTATAGTTGACATAGTATCCAAGAAGTACTGAGTTCCATCCTCCAAGCTTTTCTCCAATGGTTTTTCAAGAGCCTCAAAGCTTTCCGAGCTAAAGATCGGATCAGATTTCTTCTTTGTCTTGCAGAACATACAGAAAATCCCTATACAAACAACTATGACGAAGCCAACTCCCACAAGAACACCAACAAGTATATAAATCCATGATCTGTTTTAGGTTCCACTTGGAGGAGAAGGCGATGACGGAGTTGGTGGAGGTACTGTGATTCTAGATGGTAGAACATGAACAGTTGACCGGAACTATAGCCAACTCGTTCAGTCCAAACGTCGCTGTCTTGGAAACCTAGTTTGTGTTGACGATTTGAGATGGATCGGAAGACAACTCGCCCATAAATATATGTAATGAAGAAAAAGTCATTATCATTGAGCTATAAGAGAAAGTAAAAACAGAAAGCAATCTTCTCCCTGTTACGCTTTTCAATTCCTTTTAAGCGGCAAGATACAATACTGTAAAGAAGAACAAGCAAGCTATACTAAACCAATAACTAAGACAATAACAACTACATTGACAATTCTCTAATCCTCCAGCTCTACAGATTTCTGTTAGGATAATTAAAATCGCAATTACAAGACACAGGATGCCAGGTACATTGTCATCTCGTAACCTATCGGCCAGCCAATTGGGTAAAATGACGAACAGGATGAAATGCGGAACTGTTACATACAACAAACAGAAAATAATTATCAGAAACGAGAAGTAACACATTCGTATTCACAGTCAGTTGGTTTGTCTGAAATCTTGTTTCAAACCTGGAAAGGTTTCAGGAAAAAACAGATTCGAAGCAACAGCAAGAAATGCAATCCAGAAACCAAATTGCCCTCTGCATCATTATGTGAGAAATTTTAGTGAAATATAAACACTAAGAAACATTAAAACCGATACTAATCAACCAAGATGAGATCAATATTGAATACTGCCGAGTAACTTACGAGTTTGAAGAGTATGGCTGGGAAACTAGCAAAGAGATATAATACTAGGAGGTTAATCAGCATGTGTAATCTCCTTCGTGTTTGGTTCATGTGTAATAAAAATCTGTGGAGAAAGTAAATAATATAAAAAAATGCTTGAATAAGGAAACAGATTAAACACAAGACTGAGTTTTTTGTTCATACACAATCCTGGAAATGGCTCATTGATGGAACTAAAAGCCTTCTTATGGAAAACAGAAATCACAGACAGAATATTTTCATTGAAGATGCCATTCAAATATGTTCTCTGTATATTGCACTCACGATTTTCAGCCCCTAAGGCCATCTCCAGCGCATCACTGGAATGGCGAAGATCTCCACTTTGAAGATGATCCTATGCTCCAGCCCATCGCCACTTTGTAGCTGCATGGTGGTGACGGCTACAGTGCACGCTACATTTGGCGTTGTACTGTAGCTGCACTACATTTTTTTTTGAAATTTTTCTGATTTTTGGTTTTTGTTATTATATGCTAGAGATAGTGCTGGAGATGAATTACTGTTTCATCTTTAGAGTAGAGATAGAGAAACTGTATAGTAGAGATGAGGGCTGGAGATGGCCTAATCAAGTCCTTTTCCTAAGAGAGAATAATACAGATTTTATCACATACTACTTTATTATCTAAGCATGTTCGAGGCATGCGTGACAATAATTAAATGATGAAGGCAAGAGATTTAACAACTATTTTCTGGTAGTATTTAGAAGTTTCCAGCTATGGTTCATTTAAGCATTTCTCGAGTTCTATCTATCAAGACGGACTTAATGAGCACCCTATCTATTGGATTTTGGCCAATCTCATTTTGGAGATTTATGATTTGTCTTTCAACTAAACAATTTCCCTCTGTTGTTACCAGAGACATATTCGGACATGCGTATAGAAATACCCATTCGGAACATATATCCGAATTCAACACTCGAATTCAGGCAAAATAGACATTTCCTATCCTACCATTTCAGCATTCCAAAAGCCTTCAAAACTCAACCTTTTATCCTATCCTTGTTAGAATTTTAAACCTTAAACACATGAAAAGGCAGCTGATTTACAGAAATCCTATGCAAGAAGAGCAACCCAGTAGGCATCAACAGATTGCCAATATCACTAAAATTTACATTACTTTTGATCCTTTATGTTATCCAGACTCAAAGATGAGTGTCGAATATAAATATGATAATGTATAATTGAAACTTTCTATTAAAAAATCCAGCAAACAGCAGCAGTTACACCGATAAACCTACATAAATATTCATCTCTGACATCACAAAGCAACCCCAAATGCGTTATCATCTATGACTGAAGAAAACCAACTCATTTATATCAATCATAAAACCAAATTCAACATCTTTGAACCATTCAAGGAGGAGAGAAACCATAAAAAGAAGAAGAAGCAAGAACTGGGTTAACTTACAAAGCAAAAACGGTGCCACCCCAATGAAAAGCGGCTCGAGCCTGTTTAGATCCTAAATCTGAATTTGCAAAACTGGAGTTCAATTTCATCTCCGTATCTGCCAGTCCAAAAGTAACCATTTTCCTTCTTTTTTTCTGCCCAAATAATTTATAAAAAATTTCAAAAGAATCTTTGGATTAAAGCTTTGGAAATACATTGTTGGATTTTGTCGCCTGGTTGGTTTGGGTTGATGGGTCGGGATATCCAGAATCCAAAGCGTTTTTGTTTACACGCAGGAGTTCGTACAACATGTTTCACGTGGCAGATAACAAACCCTTGGATCTGGTTCTTGTTCCTGGTGCAGTGGAATCAAACTAATTGGGTATAATCATTCAATTCCGTATCTTTGTAGCAAAAACCCAAAAGGAAATTGAAAATTCAGTTTAAAGCTTTGTAGGAGAACAAGCTGAAGCTCCAACTGATAAATAACAAAGAGGAAGCTACAAACTCTAAAACACAGGGAAATGGTCAAATCTTATAGAAGCTTACTTTTTACTGATTTAGTTACGATCGTTTATAATTTTTTAAGTTTTTCTTCGTTAATTCCGTTAATATAATGACATGACATATTCAATGAAAGGTTATAGTTAGAATGATAAAAGATTTGTATATAAATTCATCAATCTTATGTTTGATTTATGTTCGAATCTTAGGTATACATTATTCATCCAAAATGTAATACTTGAAGCCATTCTTTGCCATGTAGGTTGTTGATAATCCTCCATTGGAAACACTTCCCAGATATCATTGATCCAAAGCCTTCACCAATCAAATAATCAATATACCATAACTGGCAACTTTCCTTCAAAATGACCCAGCAAATAAAATACGGTTTCGAATAATGGATGCATTTCCGGGTTTCAATTGCGATAAATATTGGTGGCAAAAGGGCTGTACCGTCAAACCATAGCTCTAAATTTGTGTTACGAGGCTGAAATCTGGAAAGTTTGTCAAGACACTACATCCTTAGCAAATAGGAGGTCACATATCTTTTCCTCAATAGGAATGGATTCACGGAAATAAACATCTTTCTGCATGATTTTCTTCTCCTTCCTAAAGGTTTCTGCATTTGAGACCCTACCAAGTTTCTCGAGACCGGCTACTAGAACACAGTATGTGCCTAGAGAAGGATGAATCCCTTTCTTTCGCATTGTTTTGTATATTTTAAGCCCTTTATCTGCAGTTCCGGCAGCAAAGTAGATGCCAACCAAAGCAGTATAGGTAGCAACACATTTCTGATCATCAGGCAGTGAATTGAAGATCTTTGCAGCACAAGATGGCCTTCTAGCACATCCAAGCCGATAGATTAAGAGTGAAGCTAGATAAACTCCAAGAGAATGTCCGGCGTTAGTCATTTCCTTGATAATGTCCGCTATATCAGTAAACATGTTTGATCTTATTAAACAGCCTATCAAAGCAAGATAGGCTGTTCTCTCGAGTTCTATGCCTGTTTTCACACTATATTTGAAGGCGAATAAAGCCCCATCCGGTCTATAACGATTACAATTTACATGTATGACAGCAGACATCATTTCTGAGTCCAACTGAATATTCTTATCCAACAACTCAGTCAGTAAACCATCAATGGCAAGAAGATTTTGCTTTTCCAAAAGAACCGAAACTAGTTCTCTGTCTAAGCTTAAAGGGGCTTTGAAATCATTTCCTTTATACTCAACATCTCTTTTATTGCAAATACTTTCAACAGAGATATGAGGATGAACTTGCCTGAGTAGGGCATCACTCTCACCAGCAGCTCTGAGCGTTTCAAGGGCTAATAGAAATATGGGGTACCGGAGGACAATATAACTTTCTTTCATGAACCAAAGGATTTTGATTATTGGCCACGTCTCCCCTGTTTTGCAACACTTCTCAACCAAAATATTGCATGCAGCTTTGTCGGGCTTAACTCCGGCTTCTTGCATTTTGTTAAAAATTTCGAGGGCTTCTTCATACTTGCCTGATACACCGCAAAAGAATAAAAAACTTCCTTATAAGCATTACACTCGAGAAAAGACACTAGATGCAACCAATGTAACCAAATTATACATTAGCATTCATCGGTCTTACAATGCCATGAAAGTGGTATAACTATTTATATGAACATCTTTGAACAAAAAAAATGCATACGAACATCATGAGTTTATATTTCATTAGCCTAAAAATAATGTTGATGAAGTGACATCAAATTATACACTCTAACACTGTAAATCCAAAACCAATGCGGGTTTGTGTATCCCATTTAGACATTTCAACAAACAGAAAAACAGCAATACTCAAACGAGTCATTTGTCAACTTACCAGCCCCAAAAAGATACTCCATCAACACTGTATAAGTATGACAATTAGGACAAATCCCAGACTGAAGCATCTCCTTATAAACATCAGTACCTTCCTTGATTCTCTTATTATCAAACAAAACTTTCATATAAGCTGTATATGAAACAACAGTAGGAAAACATCTTTTTCCTCTCATTTCCTCCCATGTTTCCATTGCCCCATCAACATCTCCACTCTTTGAAAGCCAATACAAGCACGAAGTATAAGTAACAACATCAATTTTCAAGCCCTTTTCTTGCATTTGGTGAAACAAATACTTCATTGACGAAACCCTCCCAGCTTCTCCAAAAATGTCGAGCATTGTCGTGTAAGTGAACTGGTCGTGCTTAAAGCCTCTAACTTTATCGACCCAGTTGAAAAAAAGCCAAGCTTTTTCCATTGGTGGGTGGGTTTTGAGGACTTGGTTGACTGTAAAAGAGTCCCATTTGACGGGTAATTGTTTCAGTTGGGTTTCAGCCGAGTCCCAAGTTGAGTACTTGAGGATTTTGTAAATGCTTGAGATTGTGTCTCTCATGTAAACTTTTGGCTCAGCATCAACTGATTCTACTGGATTTATTGAGGTTTCGGTAAATTTATGCCTGGTGGGTGTTCTGTGTTTGTTTCGATTAAGGGAATGGAAATATCTGATGGGACGATTCCAAATTCTGAAACTTGCAGCAAGTCCATGGAGATAATTTATTCTCAACATGTATTGAGATCACAGATGAGAGCTTTTTCATGGAAAAGCTTCTGCTTTTTAATTCCACGGGCTGAGGAGGAGTTGACGAGCGGTTAGGGGCTTCACTTAAATTTGGAAAGCGTCGAGGCCATCATAAATTTTTTTTTATAATCTACCTATTTAGTCACCCATTTATTCTCATATTTTTATTTTGAACATCTAATCATTTTTATAAAATTATAATGAATGTTAAATTTTATTTCTGTTGTAGTCACTCATAGTTAGATTTGACTGCTCATTTAACAGAAATAATATTTTAAAATAATAGAAAATAATAAATCTTCAAATAATAAGAAAAGACAAACAAATAGATTTTAAGTGAGAAATTCGTCGAGAAGTACAGACATGAGAGGAAAAAATTATTACGTTGACGGTAAAATACATCGGAGATTATAAGAAGCGTACAACAAACTTTATATTACTAACTTTTTTAATTAGATCAAATGAAATTCGAATCTCTATCATCGCTTTCAGTTGAGTTCTCCACTTTTCAAAGACTAACTGCACAAAAATAATGAACAATCAAGATTGGAACACTTCTTATTGTTTTCCATTGCTTACCTTGACATTCCACTTTAAACTGATGGATCATGTTCTTGCTTCTATTTCTCCCTGTGGTGATCTTTTATCATCATATGCATACAAGCCAGAAAATACCAGTTCGAGGTAATATACACTTCAAAATCTCTTCAACAAAGTAATATGAATTCTGAATATAAACATTGGAGCATTACAAGCTTTGTCATGAAAAATTTTCATCGACGAGCATTGATCAAGATGCATTTGTTAACCAGATAGGTTCATACAAATAAATGGGAAAGGATCTGCACAGGCAGTGTTACAACAGGCAAATATTTTTCACAAAATACACAATCTGCCCGTTGATAAACTAAAAGCTGCAGTTTCATGCATCATCTGTGGGCAGTAAACGAAAAATTCGCAGCCAAGCAATGCAGAGCAACAATTAGATTCTCTAAAATCACCAACATTGCTGAAGCATCCAGTCCCTTATAACCTAATATTTATAGAGATCATCACCCAATGTATAAGAACTAATAAGATCAACAAATGAGGAAGAACTAACAATCAAATCCCAATTTAAGGGGAATTTCATATGATATAACAGCACAGAGAAACAAATTTCTATAATTATCATCCTTGTAAAAGTATATTTCCAACATTGAAACTGTTCACCTGGTTCTTTCTCTAAGCCTATAGGATCAAGCATAACAAGAAGCATCAAATCAAGGCATTTCTTGTCTAGAGAAATGTTCTAGACAATTCAACCTCATATAAACCAACAAGAATAAGAATTATACAACAACAAAAAGCAAAAAAGTTAGTTTTTCCTGTAAGCTATGTAGTTAGCCAAAGCAACCAAAGGAGCAGCTTTCTCAGGATCAAATCCTTGAAGCAACTCCAATGAATCACTCCTCAACTTCTCTGCAAACTCCCTTGACTTGTCTATTCCAATCAACTTGGGATAAGTCACTTTATCAGCCAACAAATCTTTGCCTGCAGTTTTGCCTAATTCCTTAGATGACTTTGTCACATCAAGAATATCATCCACAACCTGAAACAAAAGCCCAATATACCTTGCGAATTTCCTCAACCTCTCCACATCTTCATCACATCCACCTCCAAGAATAGCCCCCAAAACCACAGAAGCTTCAAGCAAAGCAGCAGTCTTGTGAACATGAATGAATTCTAAATGATCCAACCCCACATCTGTTAGTCCCTCACTGCTTATATCCACAACTTGCCCAGCCACTAACCCTTCAGCCCCAATGGATTTAGCTAATTCTCCAATTGCCCTCACAATCCTACCATGCGAAACACCAACTGTAGAAACGGCTACATGTTCAAAAGCAAAAGCCAGAAGAGCATCCCCGGCTAAGACAGCGATATCCTCACCGAAAACCTTGTGATTAGTTGGTTTTCCTCTACGAAGATCATCGTTGTCCATGCAAGGAAGATCATCGTGGATTAGAGACATGGTGTGAATCATTTCAACTGCACAAGCTGCTGGCAAAGCCTTAGATTCCTGGCTGCCAACAAGCTCACAAGCAGCTAAACAAAGCACCGGACGGACCCTTTTCCCGCCTGCTAATAGTGAGTACCGCATTGCTTCATGGATTTTAATAGGGTCACGGAGTGGAACAGCCGAGTCCAGAGCCTGGTTTATCGTAGTGGCCTTTTGAATCATGTAAGATTTGAAATCAAAGCTTGGGTTTTGAGGGTGCTGCTCTTCTTCCTTGACAGTGTCTCCTTCGGTAAAGACCGCTGAAATTGAAGGAAGAGATGTAAAGCCGTGAGCTTTTGGGATTGAAGATGACAGAATCACAAGGGAATTGAACGGAAGGGATCTGGGTAAAAGAAAAGATTTGGATCTAGAAGCTTGTTTGAAAATGGAGTATGATTGAACCCAAGAACCCAGATTCACCGAAGCCATTTTTTTTCCACTTTGGGTGTTTGAAAGATTGTATATTTCTAGTAATTCCCACTTTCAAAACACAAAAGGCTGGTTATGAAATCAAGCAATGGGGTGTTGGGTAATTGGAAAATAGTATAAAAAATATAAAAAGGTGAGAGAGAACTGGGAAATGGAGGATATGGGGGAAACGGCATGTGAGTGAACATTACATGTGAGGGGAAATGGATGAGCATCGAGCATTATGTGGAAATAGAAATCGAAATGGAAAGAGAACCCGACAAAGATGGGAACTTTTTAGATTAGGTTTCTAAGCTTTGTGTAACATTGGAATCCTCTGCAAATCCCAGCCTTATCTTGCAAGCCAGAGGTGTCCGAGAATTCTTCTATATTTCTTTCTTAATATTTGGATTGAACACTTTCCCTTAAACAATGCGTAGATATACCATTTTGGTACCTAAAATTTCTCTTAATATAACTCTTTTATAATTTAATTAAGGGTAAAATAAACAATTGATCACTTTCATTTAAATTTTATAATTTTTTCATTAAATTTAAAAAAATTATAATATTTGATCACTGAGAATTAGTTATTCTTAGACTTTTAACAAAAGGTTGATGTGATATAATGAATATAAAAATTTTAAAAAAAATAAAATACACAAATGATCACTAATTTTAGTAAATTTTCGTTTTTTTTCATTGAAATTTCAAAATAACAAATTAATTGAGACTTTTTTGTAGTACTGTCTTAGAATGACCTAAACCGATACGAATTCCCACCGGCACAAAAGGAAGCAGACGAAGATGAAGAAAAGTAAAATCTCTTCTCCAAAAACCTTGAGATTCAATGATACCGAGCTGCAGAGGAAGAAGAGGGTTGCTGCCTACAAGGCTTTTGCGGATGAAGGCAAGAAAAAAGGGTCTCCAAGAAAGAGTTAAGTGCATCAAAAACACTTTTGTCTATGGCTGGAGGTGATCGATCCCCTGTTGCTGTTCCATCTCTCTCTCTCTTTTCTGAAATTTTCATAAGCTTTTACAAAATAGAATACAATTAGTTCAATTATGGATGATGCAAGTACACCATTGAAGTGATGATCGAGATTTGAATCATGTATTACTCATTTCCTCTTCAAATATATATTCATTTAGCATTAAGGTCTGGAAATTGTTAATCAAACTGAAAACCTGAATTAAGAAGAAAAGTTAACAACTCGATGAGAAGTAATCTCTCCATGAAATATTTAACAATTACTTTCCACGTTATCGGACAAAGTTTAATAAAAGAAAAAGTTGAAAAGAATGTTGTACCAATTCCGAGGTGAGTATGGTTATGTATCTCAGTTCCTGTAAGATTTTTATTTTCTCTGCAATAAATACAAACACATCACAAAACTTTTCATCTCAACAGGTATTTCATGGATTTTATTTTATACAGTAAATCAGTATAGCACAAAAAGGTTCTACCTGCAGAACTGTTAAGATATTTCAACATTCACTGTCAAACATTAAAGGTTTCGCCAGAGGAATTTTGAACTTTTAACATTCAATATTAATCCTTAAACAAACAAAAAGTAACTGCATGAAATATTATCAATAAAAGTCGCATGATATTAGCACAAAAAGATCTTCTTCCTCTGCAGCTCGGGATCTTTGAATCTCCAGATTTTTGAAGAAGAGCTTTTACTTTTCTTCATCTTCGACTGCTTCCGTTTGTGTCGGTGGGAATCCGTATCGGTTTGGGTCATTTTCGGGCATATACTGCAAAATGGTCTCGATTAATTTGTTATTTTTAAACTCTCAGTGAGAAAAACGAAAAATTATTCAAATATATTTATGTAGTAGGTAATTAACAGTCGTCGTTGTTAGAGTACGCTCCACATGTCTAAGAGTTCACACGGATCTTTCATTTGAGTCTCTAGAGGTTCTTACGAATCATATGTTCGCGTACATGGAGATTCGCAGAGCTGGATATTCGCAAGTAGTAACAATGTGTATTTACCGGCTTAACCGAAACTAATGCCGACAATGACGAATGTCTTTCTTCTTCCATTCCAGATCATATGGTCGACGATCCTCCATTTTCACCAGCTTAAACTTGTAAACATGTTTACCGGAACCGGAGTCCCTTCTAATTTATTTCCAGTATTTAGTCACCAAGTACAATCCTCCACCGCAATACGTAAACTCATCGGAAGAAATTCTCTTAGCGCTCTCGTATTGACCCGAATTGACAATGCTTGTAGCTTAGGTTCTGCCATTGAGCAATGAAATACAATCTATTCCTCTTTGAAGCTCGTTGTGAAGCCCAGCAATACATAACTTGCCTCTCCAATGGAATTAATCCCTGCAATAAATCATATTTGCTTCATCGATCCCTACGAATGTCATACCATTCTTGGGTAAAAATACTCCCTTCTTTAAAACAAATTCATTGGATTTGGACTAGGAAAAAGATCCCTCTTTTCCAGGGTTTGGACGTGATGCCACCATGTTAGTTCTTGAAATGGCAAAGATTTCAACTTTAATACGCAACAAGGGTGAGAAGAAACAAAAATGGGCTAATACCATCAAACAAATAGGATGTGTTGCAGAGATTAAAATCGGCGATGAATTCAATGGAGAGACAATTTATGTATTCTTAGTCTTCAAAACAAGATTCAAAGAAGAAAAGATTGTTTTTAGTCGCTCAATGGTAGAACCTGGGTTACATGATTTAGGTTGGGGCATGCCTCAATGAACTCTGAGGACGACGACAACTTAATTGTAGGATCTAGGAAGGAAGGAAGCACCTACAGCAAGTGAAGGCTACAAAAAAAAGTTAAAGGTAAATAAATGTAAGGTATAAAGGATGGGCTAGAATGATATAGAGTAAGTGGAAGTATGGTTAGGTGTTTAGGGATGGTGATGGCTATAGAAAAAAAGATGGTGATGGTGTTTGATAGTATCTTAAATAGATCAAGGAAGAACCAATGCTATAGAGAGCAAAGACCCAACCTTATAAATCTATTTAAGTGGCGGTAGAACCGGACTTGGACCCACTATCTATAATAGTGATAGGTATCACAAGTATCAATGAAAAATAGAAGGGTTTGACGCCACAAGTGTTGCTACTTGATAAGTCGATAAAGTCTTTTAAAGACTAAGGAAAAGAGAATAAACTCTCACTTAGATAAAATTGATGAGCAAGTGTTGTTTACAAATGAAATAGGCAAGCCTTTTATAATGGATGAAAGGAAACTAGGCCAATAGATGCAAATGTATTCGGCCATTTCTAGTTCCTTTCCATATAAAGTCATAATTAATTAAAATATATTAAGGTGGCGTTTGGTTGGATGGAATCCCTTGGAATTGGGGAATTGGAATCCAATTCCACTACTTTCTCATATTTGGTTCAAGTTTTCCAAGGGAATTAGAATCTCTTATGGCTTCAACTTTCCATCAAATGAGGGAAAGTGAATTCCATCAAAAAATGGATGGAATTCAATTCCCTTGTTGGAGGGAATTGAAATTTGACCATACTACCCTCATCAATCTTTTGGTAACTTATTCATATATTGAATAAAAATATTTTTTTATTGTTTCGGGTCTGGTGAAACTTTATTTTGGTCGGGTCGGTCGGTTTTTTAAGTGTGATATTCGGGTCGGGTCGAGTTCAAGTTTAGGGTGAAAAATACCCGACCCGAAAATATATATAATTTTACCTTATATATTTAGGAATAATTACAATAATACCCCTCTATATATTTTTTTCAATTAAGTCACTGTTTTTATTGAATAAAAATATTTTTTTATTATTTCGGGTCGGGTCGGGTCGGATTTCTAATTCATATATTCGGGTTGGGTCGGGTGAAACTTTATTTTGTTCGGGTCGGGTCGGGTTTTTTTAAGTGTGATATTCGAGTCGGGTTTGGGTTTAGGGTGAAAAAAACTGGACCGACCCGAAAAAATATATAATTTTACCTTATATATTTAGAAATAATTATAATAATACCCCTCTATATATAATTTTTTTCAATTAAGTCAATGTTTTTATTGAATAAAAATAATTTTTTATTATTTGTGTTATGTCGGGTCGGGTTTCTAATTCATATATTAAATAAAAATAGTTTTTGGTATATTTTTTGTAACTAATTAACATACTCCTATTGGAATGTATCGAAATATTGTTCTATCTTTTGGTAACTTATTAACATATTTTGATTGTAATGATTTTAACTTATGATGTTTATTAGCATGATTTTTATAATTTATTGAAATGAATAATCAATCAATAAAATGAAAATTTAACATTTTTAAATTTTTTATAATATATTACTACATGTAAGTTGTAAAACAAACTAAAATAAAGCAAAAAAACAAGAAGGGCAATTCTGTCATTTTACATTACTGAAATCAAATTCATCTGACATGTCTGCAAACCAAACATAATATGGAATTGGATTCCAACTCCTGATAGATTCCAATTCCTTCACATATTCTAATTCTCTCATAAACATTCCAGCGAACTAAACGCCACCTAAGGATAAAGAGAGGTGATGGTTTGACCATTGGTGAAGAGAGATGTCTTTGGCCGAATAGTCTTCATGTCCATTCATCTTGGCGCCATTCTTAGTGGTTGTGAAGGCTTGGCCGAATAGATAGACAATTTTTCACTTTAGCGCCTAAAGGAAGGCATATAGCTGGTTTTGCATATGGAGTCTCCATGGAGCATAAGATGTAGCCTCGGCCATGTGATGATGCTTGAAGGTCCTTGGGTAGCCTATAGGTGAGCCAGCTTCAAGGCAAGCTAGGTGAGTTATAACTTGATGAACTCAAGTTAGCTAGTCATGGTCTTCTAAACTCCTCAGCTACCCTCCAGTTACATCCAACTACCCTCCCAGTTACATCCAGCTACCGTTAGTCTACTTTTGACAACTTTAGTTCATACGACTCCATCAGCTAAGTTTAGCTCCATGATAGCTCCTCCAACTAAAGAGAGCTTCCATTTGATCTCCACGAGTTGTCATAGACATTATGAGCTTGTTGTGAGCTGCTTACTTTTCCAAATACTCCCCAAAGCTACCATAAGATGTGTCCTCCTTTGATGTACCTATGTAAATCAAGAAATCAAATCAATATAAGTCAAATGAGCTCGTAGAAAGTTAAATGCTTGATGTTGCCAATGTATATTCAATTATAAGCTAATTGTCATGAGCTAAGGAAATAATAATGCAAAGTTAATGAGCTAAGTTAAATGCATTGTGAGCTAAAATAGCATGCCATGAGCTAAAGATTCAATGTAAACATGTTGTCATGATATGTAATTGATATGCAAACATGATGAATGAATATAAAACATATGCAAATCATATTATAACGCTAAGTAAAGATGTGTGAAGTTAATATTCAACAACATAATGACTAAATTATATATATTTCATATGAAATGATATGAATAATCAATGGATAACTATAATCGAACATAAAATTAATATATATGATATATATAACAAAGTAAATATGTGAATGCATAATATCATTGAAATAAAAGAATGATAAAGTAAGAAAACTCCCTGTGCTTCCATCTTTGAAGTGTATGGACGTTTGAAGAAGATGAATTGGGGCTTAATCATGCGTGTATCAACAAGCATTATCGATTCGGGTCGATACGAAAGTGCTATGAGTAGAGTTTCTTCCAATGAGTTTACATACTGCGATGAAGGCGAAAACCCCATATTTGGTGGTAAGAAGAAGATTAAAGATCAAAAACTTGTAGGTGGGAATCTTGCATTGGGGAATAGTATGATTGACTTAAAGCCTACGAGGGTTATAAGTAAGTATAATTCATCATACCTGCACTACCAAAAAAACCTTTCGGCCACCATCTACTATTATTGTCTAATTCACCGGTGAACACAATTATAACATAAATGAGTCATTTTAACCCTAGCAAAATCAGATGAGACATTAAAAAGTAGGATCCTTTCACGTGGAAGACATGGGAGTTGTTTGTGCACTATAATAACTATACAGCAAAATGGTTCCCCACCCCCAAAGATTTGTCCTTCAAGGTGACTGTTTAGGACATGGAGTTATCAAGTGGCTCAAGGCTTGAAGCCCAGATCTTGTTTTGTTCAATTCATCCCCCTTGATAGATGAGACTACCCATAAGGCTTTTGCAAAGCTGCTGCACACAGTTTAGCTAAACTTGAGCTACACCTTTCTCTTGATCATTATTATTTAAAAAAAATTCTTAGGAAGTACAAAATAATAAAGATAATTTCTTGGTTAAGAAAATTGATTTGGAATTTTCCATTAGATTCATCCTTTTCCCCCCTTAAAATAATAAGAATAAAAAGGGATCATTCATTCCAAAACTGCGTTGAAAAAAAGCAACTTTTTCATCTACTTCCCTTGCCACATCCGTATACCCAAAGCAACCCCTCTCTCTTATTCCATCATTTCTTTTTCTTTTTGTTTCTTCAATCATCAAATTTCTCTGACGCTTTTCATCGAGCAGGTTCGTCACAATCTGATAAAAACCAAAACCTTTATTTTTACTTTTTCTATTATACGATTTTGATTACTGAAATTTGCGTTTGTTAAGTATATTTGCTTAAAATCAGATTAAGTTTCTCTAATCTTTGACGGTGTTTTGTTATCTTGAGATATGATCTGTTACGAATTAATTCAATTCTGATTTCTTTTAATATTGTTAATCATAAAGGGGAAAAACACTTTTCTTTTAGATTGTAATTAGTTTACTCAATTTCTATTGGGTAACACCGATTCCATTTTTGAAATCGGTTCTTTAAAGTGAATTAGTAGCAAAGATAGGGTTTGTTACAAGTGATTTGTTTTGATTGTTTATTTTAGATTTTGGCTGTTATTAATGAAATTTTCAGTTAGGGTTTATGAACAATTATTTTGTTTTTGATGGTTTCTTTTAGATTTTGAATTGGTATTACTTTGGTTATGTAAATAATGGATTTGTAGTAAATTCTGCTATCCTTCTTTGAAATTTTCAAATGCTTGTGCAGGATCTATGATTCGGCTGTTTAAAGTAAAGGAAAAGCAAAAAGAGCTTGCAGAAAATGCAAATGGTGGATCACCTATCAAAAAGCAAACTGCAGGGGAGTTGCGTTTACACAAAGGTTTGAATATCCTGTTTAATGAATTTGATCAAGTTTATATGAATACATAGGCCTATATGTATGCATGTATCGCAAGTTGAATTTACCTTTATGAAGGATAGAGATTTATCTGATTGTAGTTTGCTCAAGCACTGAATTTTTACCAGGTTTAAGAAGATCCATATTTGATCTAGGATTGAATTAGCACTTAATAAACGTGAGCATCATGTTATATTTGGCCTTTTACTTGCAGACATTTCCGAGTTGAACCTGCCGAAATCTTGTTCCATATCATTTCCTAATGGAAAGGATGACCTGATGAACTTCGAGGTTTTTATTCGACCTGATGAAGGATATTATCGGTAAGGAACTTCTTTCATGCATCTTATCTTAAAACAAGCAATCTTTTGCTCTCTAGCTTTACAGGGGGAAAGAGGTTCTGTTCTATGTAATTGTTTTATGGTTGTTTCTCTTGCTAATAACACAAAACAAGTGTTCAACTGACTTGGTGCTTTGCTTTTTTAGTGGTGGCACATTTTTGTTCTCCTTCCAAATTTCTCCCTCCTATCCGCACGAGGCACCGAAAGTTAAATGCAAGACCAAGGTAAACCGGCTCATCTTATTTAGTCACAGCTTCCTTCCCCATATCCATGTTGTCTGATTTGCTTTTGGTTAGAACTCAATTTATTTCATGTTGTTCACCGAACCTCAGGTCTACCATCCTAATATTGACTTGGAAGGAAATGTTTGCCTCAACATCTTGCGTGAAGACTGGAAACCTGTGCTCAATATAAACACCGTAATTTATGGATTATATCATCTTTTCACGGTACTTGCCTAGTGAATTCATGACAATAATCCTATGAATTGGCAGCTATCTGGTACTCAAATCTTTCGATTTTGTGTGCAGGAACCAAATTACGAGGATCCCCTCAACCACGACGCTGCTGCAGTGTTGAGGGACAATCCAAAGATGTTTGAATCTAATGTGAGAAGAGCTATGTATGGTGGGTATGTGGGGCAAACCTATTTCCAACGGTGCATATAAAATGCAAACGCACGATGTTATCGACGATTGAGTTTCTGTGGGTTGTATAGTCTGTCTGGAAATGACCTTTGTCATCCCCTTTGAATTTCTCTGTGTGAATCTCAGGGAATTATTTTCTTTTAAGACCAACCAGCTAAAATTCTAGTTATGTTTTGCTCTAGCTTTCCTAATGTTATATGTTGGTGTGGCATATATCGTCTTACATTGTAGAACTAGCATAGACTGAATCTTATGCATTAGCTTAAAATATGACATTCTTAGTGTTTCTATGTCCGAAGATGAAGATGATGTCTCTTTGTCTTGCACCCACTGTTGATATATGATGGGATTATTTGATGTGCTTGTTAAACGACAGGTTCGAGTTGTTTTAAGTTTACTTTTTTCTAAATTCATTTAAGATCACTTAAGAAACAATGAGATTATTCTTGCATCTGTAAATAGTAAACTCTTATTAAATAGTGTTAACTGTCGAATTTTTTTTAATTTTATTGTCACGACGGAGTTAAAAATCAAACTTAATAAAATATAAATGATCATAAAAGATAGTATTATTTTTTCTAAATATTTTGAATAATAACTGTGTATGTGAGATGTGTGCGTTCTAATAATTACGATTGTAAAATATGTTGTAAATTAAAAAAATTTAAATAAGATATTATTTGGTAATTTTATTACATTATTTTGTTTATAAAAAATAATCGTCTGAAAATATAGCATAATTCTGTTGGGAAAATTGTTGGACAATATTATTAAGAGTAAAGTATAGTAATGGTCACTAAATTTTTTAAAGCTTTCATTTAGGTCCTCCAACTTTTAAAATTTGTAATACAACCCCCAACATTTAGTCTGTTTGCAATATGGTCCCTAACGCAACCGGCCGTTTGACGCCGTTACACTGCCGTTAGTACGTTTGCAATATGGTCACTGAACTTTTCAGGCGCTTGCATTTAGGTCCCCCAACTTTTAAAACTTGCAACACAGTCTTTAATTTTATTCTAAACCCCAAAATCCTTTTTCGCTTTTCTCCTCTCATTTCCAGCGTAACTTTTCAGTCGGTGATGCATGAGAAATTCCAATCTAGCTTTGAATTATGTGGAGGTGTTGACTTGAATAAGGGTCCATTGAGAGAAGACCCGACCAAGGGACTATCGGGACCATCAACGATTCAAGATGTAATGTTAGATACATGTCATCTCAGGTGAAGCATAGATGTTTGATGAAATGCTTGTGAGAAAAAAATGGGGTTAGAAATGCAGAGTTGTCAAATACTACTAAGATGAACTAAGTATCATTGCTGAAAATCACAAACAAAGCTGGAATTATTTTGTATAAATGACATATAATAATTTCTTCGTTTAATCATTGTGGTTAAAGATTTTCCAACAAATGAGCAAATATAATGAAATCTCAAACAGCGCATTCACCTCTATGTCTCTTTCGCAACTCGAATGGCATCATGAAAGGGTCAAGTAGCTGCTCCAATTATACTATCCTGTCATGATGCCTTTCGAGTTGCGTGCATGCAAAATTGTCTTCTAAATCTATAATTCAATACAATTCAACTGTAAAATTTTCAAAACATGTAAAAAAATCCAATTCGTTCACGATATATTAGTCCCATAATCAACATGAACTTATTAAAAAAAATACAAGCTCATAGGACACCGAAAACCACAGGTCATATCAATACAATTTCCAGTAAACTAGTACCAGCAGTCTCTCGAATTGAGTCTGCCGATTTCACTATGTCGATGCTCGTAACCAATTCCCTGATTTAAAGAAAAACCAAACAAGAAGATAAAAAAAAATTAGCCTAGGACCCTATTTCACTTCTATTCTGATGGACTGAATATCTTTCATAAAGAGTACTAACACTGAATATCCAGACCATTGACATGCAGTTTCAGAAATATAAAAATTTCAACAAAAAACACACAAGGCGAGCTGAAAATAGGAAAGTGCGAAAGACGAAAAGCTTACTTCCGGATAGCCAAAAAAGAAAATAAATACCTTCTTGCAAGTGAGCGGAGAGGCTAAGAAATAAACGCAATCGGTGTTGCATTCCAACAATTCTTCCTCCATTTTTTCTTTGTAAATAAAAAGCTAAAAGACAAAACACTGATTGGGTTTATAATTTTACATGGCAGAAAATTGAAGAACAAAAACCGAACGAGAGTGCATGTGAGCGAAAGAGACTGAGAGGTGAATGTGTTATTTGAGATTTCATTATATTTGATCATCTGTTGGAAAATCTTTAACCACAAGGATTAAATGAAGAAATTATTATATGCCATTTATACAAAATAATTTCAGCGTTGTTGGTGACTTTCAACAATGATACTTAGTTTATCTTAGTAGTATTTGTCAACTCTGCATTTCTAACCCCATTTTTTTCTCACAAGCATTTCATCGAACATCTATGCTTCACCTGAGATGACATGTATCATCTTGAATCGTTGATGGTTCCGATAGTCCCTTGATCGAGTCTTCTCTCAATGGACCCTTATTCAAGTCAACACCTCCACATAATTCAAAGCTATATTGGAATTTCTCATGCATCACCGACTGAAAAGTTACGCTAAAAATGAGAAGAGAGAAGAGATAAGAGAGAAGTGAAAAAGGAATTTCGGGTTTAGAATGAAATTGAAGTCCGTGTTGCAAGTTTTAAAAGTTGGGGGACCTAAATGCAAGCGCCTAAAAAGTTCAATGACCATATTGCAAACGTACTAACGGCAGTGTAACGGCGTCAAACGGCCGGTTACGTTGGGGACCATATTGCAAACGGACTAAATATTGGGGGACTGTATTGCAAGTTTTAAAAGTTGAGAGACCTAAATGAAAGCTTTCGAAAAGTTCAGTGACCATTACTATACTTTACCCTATTATTAAATCAAAACAGATGAGATATTCTGCTATTAAAATTTTAGACTAGTTGAACAAAACATATTCTTAATCATAAAAAAGAAGCATATATATTTCTTTTCAGGATGACAACCGAAGAGATGTAGTGACTGTAATTAAACAAGGGGGCATTGCCCTGGTGAAGGGACAACCAAATTCTGAAACACACAGAGACTCCATTTACCATTGTCCTGGGGTGTAGGACAGTCCAGATGAGAGAGCAATCTGGGCAGCCTTTTAGCTTCAACTACATAGACAGAATTCCACCCCTTGTAGGGCACGTACTAACCAACCCAAAAAACTAAAGATGATGCACATTTTTATTTGAAATATGAGTAATGTAAATGGCTACCATGTGGTCAAGGGGAGGAGGGGGGGGGGGGCATTCATGTTGCAGCTGGATCAAAGCAAAGAAAGAAAGCTTGGGATTCGTAAAAGTTTGGGTAAAATATAATAATATATGCACAAACTACATGGACCAAACTTGGCCACAAAACCACTTGTTCTCCATACACGTCTCTCTCTGTACGATTTCTTTTATTAAAATGTTTAATAATGAATTATGGGGTTTAATTAAGGACTTAATCCAGTATTGCAGAATCTTTTTATCATTATTTTAATACTTAATAGTTTAATATCATCCCAAACATACAAACTTAGCTGTTTTTAAAGATTTATTGCTTTTAAATATGGGGACTGTAAGCTTACTTTATTTTCTTTATTAAAAATTATAAGTATAAGCTTACTTTATTTTCTTTATTAAAAATTATAAGTATAAGCTTACTTTATCAATTTGTTTTATACATTTGTGTGGACTTTTAAAGAAAGTGAAAATGACATGCAAGTTTTGGCCTTCCAATGAAAAAAAAGTTTAAACCCTAATTGTTCTTCTCTTCATGGATTTCATTCCTAGGATTTGACTCTGCATGGGTTACGTTTCATTTCTTCATTGGTTAATATTTAGGTAAAGTATATCATAAGTGCATGGGTGTTTCGGATATTTTTGATACTCTGAACGAAATTTAAAAGTACGTCCTTATATAACGAAAATATATTTTATTACTTTGGATAATTAATTTAATATTATATTAATAATTTTTATAAAAATAATTAAATTTTGTCAAACATTATTTTTTATTATTTTGTTAAGAAAAAACTTAAATACAACTAAGAGAATAAATAAAAAAATGAATTTGAGTATGACACGGACCTCGATTTTGAAAAATAAATGAAAAAAATAGTGTATTATTTTATCATTAGATTGAGATTGGAGAAGAGTAAGAGTTACAGAATATTGATAAATTGAAGAATGCAATTTGAAAAAGAGAAAAGGAAAATATAATTAGATTTAATTCAAAATTAAATGAATTAAAGAGAGGGATTAGTAATTGAAAAAAATAAAGGGCTCAATTATAAAGGTAAAAAGTGAGATCGAAAAAATTAGAGGACTTAATTATAAATATAAAAAGTGAGATTAAAAAACTAGGGGCATCAACTATAAAGATATAAAGTGATATTGTCAATTATAAAGGTAGAAAGTGATATTGTCAATTATAAATATAAAAAGTGAGACTGGAAAAATTAGAGACATCAATTATAAAGATAAAAAATAAAATTAAAAAAATTAGAGACTTCAATCATAAAGATAAAAAATAAGATTGAAAAAATTAGGGGTCCTATAAAAATGGGAGCTCTGAGCGATTGCTAAGGGTGCTCCCCTATTATTCGGCTCTGCATAAGTGGTTCAACTATACTAAAAACGATAAAAAAATGTTTAAAAATTATAAAATGATCAATAAATTTATCGAATAATTATAAAATAATTATTATGACGTTATAATAATAATAATAATAATTTGATAAATATAATCATCATTTTATAATTATTTTGTAACCGTTTGATAAATTTAATAATAATTTTATATTATAAAATATTCAGATTTAAAAAAAAATGAATCCATAAAATCCAAACCCTACACATGAGACAGACACATTGTACGATGTTCTAGAATAATATTACTGCATTGTAAGAGTTAAAAAAATCATAGCCCACTAAGAAAATGGCTGAAATTAAGGCAGAATGAAGGGTTTTTTTTTGAAAAATGTTTTATAGGATGGCAAGAGGGAAACATGGACGTATACTGTTTGTGGCATATACAAACAAATTTGACTCTGGATAAGCGCTCAACACTAATCCTCAGACGCACTCTCTCTCAATGTTTTTGAGTCCAAATCTACTCTTATAGGGTAAAAATAAATATTTTTTTTTAAAAAATTGAATTCGAATAA